TACATGTGTTCTGCTAATCGAGTAGTTGGGAAGATGTGAAAAGAACACGTTCTTTAGGTGTTTAGTACAATTTATTATTTTAGTTCAGTTCAAATATCTTATTTGTACCGTGTAATATACATGGTTGGCAAAAAGATGACTAGAGTTGTTATAGCAAAAATAGGACAACCTTTTTAAAAGTTTATTTTTTTTGAACTTCTCCCAATTAATATAACATGAACTTGATTACCTTTTTAATAGTACTTACATCGGCTCGTTGGAATTTGTGCGGTGCTTGTAATACAATCAGTTCAGATCTTCGGAGATCTTGAGAGACCATCAGATCACAAATCGATGCAGTATTTCTGTCTCAACCATGGGATCAAACCCATTTTGATCATGACGCTCTTTAGAAAACATGATGCTCTTTAGGTGTTTGTTGTTAATGTAGAAACCAGTTTTTAATACCGAAGAACAACATCGCCCACTGCCTACCTCCGTCGCCCACTGCCAGCCGCCAACATTGCCGCCGCACCACGAGTCCACTTCACCACGAGCTCCAGTGCCGACCATCCCGCGGCTGCTCGTGATCCCCTCTTCCATCAGCTCCACTTCACCGGAACCGTAAGTCCGCAGGAGTATGCGTAGCAGGTTCACCAGATCCTCCTGACATCTTCTTCCTTCTCCAAAAATATTTTCTTTTATGTTCAATTCTTCGTCATATGTTCATTTCCTATTACCTCAGTGCCTTTCGCTTGAATTCCTGCTGATGTTGGTTGTAGCTTGAAACGGCTTCGCCTGCGTGCCTAGGAGTGTGCTTTTCTTCAGTCCAAAGGGAGAAATACTGTCAGTTCATGAACAGAGAATTTTTGTACTAAACTTAACATTAGTTCGGTGTGTACTCTATTGTCAGTCCATGAAAAAACGCAGAATAGTTGGTGCGTGTGAAAAAAATATCGTTAGTACAGGATTCAGTTTCTGTAAGTTTAGATATATCACCTGAATAAGTAGTGATTTGCAGCGAGTTTCTTTGGTGTCAATTCTGATTCAAGTGCGCTGTTCTTCCTAGCACGCATGGTGCTTGTGTTAATGCCTATGGGAGAACAACACGTACGGAAACTGTGTACTAGTGATGAAAACCGGATAAAGTCCTAAGATAATGATATTCTTTTTATTCAGATTTAAACGGGCACAAGCACTCAAGTATGTAGTGTTATAAAACAAAAGTAATTCTACTTTAACTAAGTTTTACAAACATTACACTAATTTTGTTATTTTGCTTTTGGGTTTTGAATGTCCTGTGGAAGCATTCTGGAGTTAAAAGAACTCTAAAGTTTGATGATGCAAGTTGTATCCGTGTACATAATTCTCTATTTCTATTGTGACAAGTTCGAATGATCAAA